ATTTAGCTGGGTAATTGAGTGCTTAATCCCATCAAAGACTGCTTCATGCCGTCCGCCTCTCCCATAATCTGCCCATAATTACACACTCCCAGTATCAAACACACACACTCCCAGCAACACACACACACACACACACACACACACACACACACACACACACACACACACACACACACACACACACACACACACACACACACACACANTCTATCAATATAAAGGGAGGTCAGGTACTCTTTAAAACAGCTGCTAGTTATGGGTACTTTTTAGTTAAGTACATTTCAAAGCCTCTGCTTCTTTACTTTTACTTGAGTAAAGAAGTTTAGACAGTACTTCTACTTTTTTTTAGAGTATTTTTAAACATGAGTATCTGTACTTCTACTTGAGTACAGGATGTGTGTACTTTTGCCTCTCTGTCAGTTCATAACCCCACCCTTACTAACAGGAGAGTTTAGCAGCAATTGTAACATCTCTAGCCGCAGCCCCTCCCAAAACACACTCATTCCAGATGTTGAAATCTATTCTGTAACTGCCACTACACGCTTACACCATCCTCCACAAGACCACGATCCATTGTCCTCTGACTGTGTCTTATAGACATTAATAACCAGCCCTGAATTAGCCTTGCAGTTGGTGTCACATCTAATTACTATCAGAGATGAAGATAGTGTGGGCCTCTGATTGCCTGGCTCTCTGCGGCTGAATGGGAGGACATCGACCCAGACTTTCAATATGCTTATATCTCATCCAGTGCTATGAAAACTCTAAATGGTCTCATGTGTCGGCCAACAATGAGCTGATAGTGATGTGTTCACAACTTGGATTATCGATCTTGGTTAGATGCATTCAGGGTTAACTGTGTGAGTGTGCAACTGTGATTCATTCATTTCCTGGAGCTGCCTTTTTAAAGCAATATCAGGTCAATCATTGATAAATGGATGTGAAAAAAACACATGTACATTCAAATGAAGATATAGATACAAAGAAAGCATACAGCCTCAACACAGAGAAGATCATTCAGGGCTAACAAAGGATTTGTTTTCTATCAGTGTATTTCTCCACATGCAATGAAGTCAAGATTTCCAGATTTGTGTCTTTACCTCAATAGCGGTTGATACAGGGGAGACAAAAAGAAGCCATGTCGTAAACCTGACACTTCAACACAATATCCTCTTTGAAATATCACCCTCATCTCTCCTCTGCCACATTTTCCTCTAAAGCCTGTTGGATAGCGCCTCAAAGTGTGTGTGCCGCCATTGCTCCTACTGCATTGCAAGTCTCTTTTGGCCCGGTGATTGATTCCTCCCATTCAGCTATAGAAAAGCCCTTTCTAGCAGCACGGTCATTTTGCAGGGCAGCCTATGTGATATTGATCTGAGAAAGTCTGAAATGAGGGGAATTGAATAGCACTGCAGCTAATTACATATAGTCATGAGGACAGGAGAGAAATTACCTGGTGCATTGTTAGCAGCCTCACTCCGCGACCTTGATTGCAGGGAAAGGAAAGGCGTGTGTTGGTTGAGATGCAAACGTGTTACAAGTGTTAGGGAATAATTTGCTTAGGTATTCAACCTTCGACCCAGTTCATAGTTTTCTCTCTTTGCTGTCTCTTTTCTCATGGCATACGTAGGTCTACATAGCATGGCATAATTGTTTAGTCTCACTGATGAAGAATGTTGATTATTACACTGCGACTAGTTAAAACCTCGAGCTGCAGGAAGAGTTCTTCAGAATTGGGTTGGCAACCGCTGTGTCAACTCGTGACATACCACCTGTCAATTCTCCGGCCCTAACTCCAAATAATAACTAATAAACCACCAGTGTTTGCCATCAAAGCTCCAGCTCCCCTCGTGTCTCTCTGAGTCCTGTTTCCAATTGCTTCATAAGTTTCCCCCACAACAAGTCCTCTGCAATTGGACAGAGATTGGAATGTGCATCATGTTGATAGATTATAAAGAGGGCTATTATCCCCTTGGGGAAATTAATGTGTTAATAGCAGCAACAGGATGCAAACAGGGTAAACATTAAGATAAAAATAGAATACAAATTAAAATAATAGTACAGCAACAATAAAGTGATACAGTAACTAGTAAAACAAGATATCACAGTAAAAAGTTGTGCATTTGTATGAACATGTTAAAGTGTGCAGATGAGAGTGCAGGTTAAAGGTCACCTATTATGCAAAATCCACTTCTTCATGTCTCTTCTACATCAAAATGTGTCCCCTCTGTGTAAAGAGATTCTGAAAGCTACAGGAAAAAAGATTAGCTCACTTTTTTTCCTGATTCATTTATATAAAAACCTGTCTGAAAATGAGCTGATCAGATTTTGGCCACTTTATGATGTCATAACGTTTTTTTGGCTTGTGTAACCATTAGCCAATCACCAACCAAGGTAGCTTGTGATTGTGGTGCCTGATGGCTACAGGCACAAAGGACTGATTTGAGTCAGAAATGAGCAGCTATAGATACACATTAAAAGTTACCATGCCACAATGAGTAACTAACTACATGCAGTATTGATTTGTTTGAGCAGCAGACCACGTTTAGATTTCCTCTTGTAAGACTAATGAACAGATTATTGATTTGATGTCCGCTCATCAAAAACTGGGACCTCAGCCAAGCTCTGCTATGATTTGACGTCTGCTCATGTTTTTTGAACCAAACCCTGACACTTACATCTGCAGTGCTGTCCCCTCGTGGAGCTGACTGTGAGCATCTGGAGCTGTTAACCTCAGCCAGAGAGGGGTCATGGGTGTTATTTACCACATGGTGGCAATGTTGAGCCTCTAAACGGTGTGTGCGTGCAGAGGAAGGATCCCTACCACTACCAGGAAGGTGGGAACACTGCCAGTCATGTGGCAAAACATAGAGCCCCCTGTCAGGATTTATGGTGAATCACAATGGTGAATCACAATGCAGCATCACAATGCATATAACAGCACTACATTCCTCGTTTATGTTCCTTCCCATAAAATCAAAACTATGGATATACGCAAGCAGATAAACACTGTAAATCAAATGAAATGTTTCTTCATGCTTTTTCTTTTCATAAGCTGACAGTTCTCATATATTCTTTAGCCCACACTAAAGAGAAACAAATCCTCCGTTATCATTGCAGCTACAACACTTCACCGTTGTGTTATTATAGTGTTTCGTCAGTTTCTTTGACACCCCTGATTGAAAGTCATTTTTTAAATTCTAACAGCAACTTGATGGCAAGTAAAACAAATCAAATAGGCTCCAGTGAAAGTGCCTCTAGCATTAAAACGCTGCCTATCTGGCTTTGTCCACATTTAAGAAGCAGCTCGGCAAACAGTGATTCACAAAGGAGGCTCCATGAAGCGGCTGCAGCGCTTTAATTGCATTAAGCCCATTGCTGACTCCAGTGAAGCACCCAGCACTAGAGGGTTGGAATCCTCATTAGACAAGAATCAGTTATGAATGATGAATATTGCTTTAAGAAAATGTAACTAATGCCAAAGAATCCCAGTGGGATGTGGCCTGGACTTGTTAGCTCTACTGTGAAATGCTAAAAAATGTAAGAAGCACTTGTATAAGTGTACTGTAATACTACGCTTTTAAATGACTTCCAGAATTAAAAGGTAAGAGGACACAGTAACCAATGCTATATGTAGCTACATCACTTCCTTGCATTCTGTGAAGCTTATGCAGAATCGGGGGTACACCTCAGCAGCAGGCAAGTGTGTTTTGACTGATGGACCTACAGATTGTATCTCGTGACCCTCACACTTATCTTTGAACAACCTGCGCGGCCAGGTCGTCACCGCTGTCAGACGTACCCAGTAGAAAAAACAGAACAACAATAACAACAAGCTTATCCCTGTGCTTACTCTGAAGTAATTTTACTGTTCCCTCCTGTGGTTATTTGAAGATTTAAACCAGGGCTTTATGCATACAACATACCTACTTTGAGATATGCATGAAAGCACAGGTATGATGGGATATGAAATGCATGCATAAATGACTGCAGTTCACAGCTTTCTCTAAACGCAGGCTCTGGAAGGTGAGCACTGAATGCCTCACATAGACTTTTTACTTTCTAGAAATCCTCGATAAGCATTTGAATTTGAGCATTTTGTAACATTGTGTCCTTCATTCATCTGTTCAACGTTG